TGTGTGCGTGTGCTCCGTTTTTTTGCAATTGCAACTGAGTAAGCCCCACAACAAATGGTCGAGAATGCCCCGCTAGCAGATACCCTGTGGTGGGGCAGTGCAAAGTCCGGTAGCCTGCCAAATTGAGTACGAATTTACCAAAAAAAAAAGTTACAAGTACAATTCGAGTAGTATTTCATTTGGCTCCACTATTCAAAGTATTCATACATGCTCTAACACATACGCACTAATACTCATGCATACTCATTAACTCAATGAGTAAATACTACTCAAAAGTACTTGAGTATTTATTGGTTAAGTGACTCATAGTACTCGCACTTGTTAACACTTTTACTCAAATATACTCATAGCAAATACTCACACTGATACTCAAACATACTCAAAGCAATAATAACTCCCGAATTTCTTGGCTGCGTTATTCATGGTACTCGCACGTATGCACACTTATACTCATACATAGTCATACTTTAACTAATTCATACTCATAAATGCAATTTCAGTTGAATAATTCTTCAAAATACTTAAAAATGATTCGCATATTTCATGCAGCAGCTACTCAAACTACTCATATTCATACTCAACTACATTAGCTGAAACTAATTCTAATACAAGTATTTTCCGAATAAATTGAAGTGTAAAGATATGAGTAAAAGAAAGCTCACTCATATTATGTACTCATATGTACTCATATCTACTCATATATACTCATATGTACTCACATATACTCATATCTACTCATATATACTCACATGTACTCATATGGACTCATATCTACTCATATCTACTCACATGTGCTCATATGGACTCATATATACTCACATGTACTCATATTCATACTTGTATATGAGTAGACAAGTTCAATAGGATGCGACAGGTGAGGAAAAGTATTGAAATTCTTGATCAGAACGTAGAGCGACAATATAGATAGAACAGATAGATGTTCGTTTTTAAGAACGCGTCAATATTTAAGGCTATGAAAGCTAGGGACGGGGAAAAGTGAGAGATTGAAAAACAAAATTGGAGCCTTTCGCTTCTTGTTTGCCTTGAAAAATTGCATAAAGATCGGACTTTAAGCACCGAACCCAAACCAAACCAAAGCAAAGCAAAGCGAAGCAGAAGCACAGCTTGGTTCAGATTCAATCAGTGTCAGGGTATCTTCTAGTCGTGCAGTCACTGTCAAGAGCTACTCTGGACTTTTTTTATTTGTTGTTTTTTTGGCCATCTAGAAATGATGAGCCGAAGATGTCCACAAGCCAAGCGACCAGCTAACCAACCAAGAAGCAAACTCTGTGTCCTCGCTCCTGTTGTTGTTGTTGTTATACCCTGAACCCATTGAAAATGGGTTAAGAGGGTATAATGTATTTGTGCAAATGTATGTAACAGGCAGAAGGAAGCATCTCCGACCCGATAAAGTATAAATATTCTTGATCAGCATCAACGGCCGAGTCGATCTAGCCATGTCCGTCTGTCCGTCCGTCTGTCTGTCCGTCCGTCCGTATGAACGCAAGGATCTCGAAACCTATAAGAGCTAGAGACTTGAAATCTTAGCTGTAGGTCCTCCTAGTCCATGCGCAGATCGAGTTTGTTTCCGATTATCGATAACTTGCCCCGTTTCCAAGTTATCGATAAAAATCGATATCGAAATACCGTTATTTGAGCAATTCCGGCAAATAATATGAGCTAGAGTCACCAAACTTGACATGTAGCTTCTAGAATATTATATATATATCATATATCTTGCATTTTATACCTTTCGCCTGTTGGAAGAAGAGTGTCCAGGGTATCCCCTAAACGGGAGCTCCCGACTAGAACCTCTTACTTGTTGTTGTTGTTGTTGTTGTTGTCCATTCGTTTTGGTCGTCATTTTGGGGTTTTGGCTTTTTGGCTTTGCTGGCCGAATAGATAACATTGAAAGAAGGAAGCCCTAATTGATGTTATGATCATCGTCATCAGCAGCAAACAAGAAGAAGAAGAACAACAACAACAACAACCACATGTAATTGCTGTTATAATTGTTGTTTTTCTTCTTCTTCTTCGTCTCTGTTTTTTTTTTTTTTTTGGTCTATTGCATTTTGTGGTGCGCAACAACGGACAAGGCCCAAAGCGAAAACGAAACGCAGCTCAATGGAATGAAACGGGAACAGAGCTGCAGGATGGTGGGAGGGAAAGGGAGGTTGTGGAGGGGGCGGTAACGCTTTTGCAATGGCTGCCATTTTGCTTTGGCATTGTGTGGGGCGAGTGGTGGGAGGGTGGCGATTAAGGGGTGGGGGGGGGGGGGGGTTGTCATAGTGATGGGCGTTTGCAATGGGAACTGGACAAAATGGTTAACTGTAAACTGTAAACTTGAAAAGGGAGCGAAAAGAGCATGTGCATGTGCATGTGTGTCTGTGTGTGTGTGTGTGTGTGTGTGTGTGTGTGTGTGTGTGTGTGTGTGCAGATACAATTTGTAATGATACACAAATTAGTATCCTAAATGGATGCTTAATAGCCCAACTGCTTGTTTTCTGACAACGAATCCAACTGCACACAACTCTCTGTCTGTCTGTGTGTGTGTGTGTGTGTGGGTGTGTGAGCTACGTGAACATGTGAATGTGCACTTGTATGCGTGTGTGTGTGGAAAACAGGTTATTGCGGCCTTCTGATGTCGCTCTCTGTGGATGATGCAAGCAGCATGCAGCATATTGAGAATTCGGATTGGAATTCGAATTGGAATTGGTAATGCTGCTGCGCGTGTGTGTGTGTGTGTTTGTGTGTGTGTGTGTGCAATGCACTTAAAATCAGCTTTAAAGCCAATTCAGAGCAGCTGAAAGGAATTTAAAGTGCACAAGGTAAAACTTTTCGATACGATTTTTAGACTTTTGCAAGGATAATCACAATGTGATGTAAACATGGAGAAATTGTTAGCTAATTTGCCGGTTCAATAAAATCCAATTGGATAAATGTGAATATCGAATATTTGTATATATATTTTAGTTTTGGTTTGGGCGAGCCAGCTAAAAAAGGCCCTGCAAAGGGATTTATGGCCAGAGACAAATGAGATATTAAAGAATTTAAAGGATATATCAAAGAACTGTGCAAGATCAGAAAGTTAAGCGATTCTTCAATTTTGCCAACTAAAACAGCTCAGATTTAGCATGATTAGGCAGTTAATGATTTCGAAATTATCGAGTAGATTTAAAAAAAACCTACAAGCATTCGAGTAGTATTTCATTTGGCTCCACTATTCAAAGTATTCAAACATGCTCCAAGACATACGCACTCATACTCATGCATTTAATGAGTATGCATGAGTATGAGTGCGTCAATTCGTCAATAGTTTTATAAAAACAACTACTCAAAAGTACTTGAGTATTTTCTGGCTTAATGACTCATAGTACTCGCACTTGTTAACGCTTATACTCAAAAATACTCACAAAGCAGATTGGGCTTGACTAAGATATAGTATGAATTTATACAACTTGCGAGTTGATTGAAAAAAGAAGCAACAAATGCGTGAAGAGCATAAGCAAAGATACAGCCGAACCCAAGTTCATACCGAATCAGTATTATAACAGAAAATATAAGAGTGGTCTAGTCGGGAGTGACCAACTAGAAGATACCCTAAACTTCGCGTTTTCTCAACTTTGGGAAGTGGGAAGGTATCCAATAGAGGACTTCTTCCCCTGTTTATGCGCATGTTAATATCGATTCTTATCGATTATCGATTTGAGGTGAGTTATCAACAATGTAAAGCAAAGTCTCTGAGTTTAAGGGTCAAACATACAGTTGGACATGGCTTGACAGCTTTAGTAATTATTTTGTAACTATAACTATGACTAAAAAGGAAAAAGTGAGGATGTCTTTGGCACGCCGAAGATCTAATACACTTGAGAAGAGTGAAAGCTCGTACTGTGAAATATCTTGCAAAACAATTCATACCATAAAACTATATGATAGAGTAGTGCGATCTTGATAAGTTATGGCTGGAAAGATATATATATATATACATATGTTTATAGGTAGCATTGTTTTTTAAAAGTCAATGCCGAGTTTCGTCAAGATATCTTCAAAAGCAAAAGCGAAGTTTTTCATACAAGAATCAACTTTTGGATCGTTCCAAGGGCAGCTACATATATGATATAGAGCTCCGATCCGACAAATGTAGTGCCAGCAACGAAAAGACAGATCAATGCAAAGTTTCAAGTGGATATTCAGCAAATTAAGAGACTAGTTCGCATTGAAATAGACAGATATGGATATATGAACGCAAGAATAAGAGGTTCAATTATACAAAATAATTGAAAGCGCTTTTGGACAGTTTAAATAGCTTCAGTTTCTGTCCACAGAGTGTTAACTAAGATCCGAGATGTGCTCGATAACGATTGGCGGACTTGATGACGAGCTGTGCTATCGATAAGTTAACGGAAGTTAACGGTAATTTGCTGCAATTTAAGCGGCCAATATGGCCAGCACCCAGTGACCAACAGGACGAGGCTGGCAAAGCCGCAGCCTTTAAGCCATATGCAAGCATATGTGTGTGTGTGTGCGAGTGTGCGAGCGTGCGTGTGTGTGTGTGTAAAGCAAGGAGATGAAATCATTTCGAGCAAGGCAGAACCCCAATGCTGAAAAAGCAATAAGATGAAAAATAAACGAGCAAATATAAGAGAACACAATAAAGAACAAACAAATGAGAAAAAAAAAGAAAATAGAAATGAAAAACAGAAAAGGAAAAAAATAATAGAAAGCTGAGGCAGCTTCAAAGCAAAAGCCGGACAGACGCGCCCACACAAGGCGAACGGGAAGGCGATGGGAAGGCGAATGGGAGCAAGGACGAGGAGGGACTGGAGGGGCTGGAGGGGCTGGGGCGGGGGGGATGAGCAGCTAAACGGCACGAAACGAGCGACAACGCTAGCGACGCTGGCGACGCGCCAAAGTCAGTTTGGCGCAGCATTTTGGGGCCTTCGGTTCTAAAGTATTGTTTTAAGGATTACAGAGAAAGCGGCGCGCAACTGCAGCGCCCAATGCCGCCCCAAAAGAAACTGCCAAAGAAATGTGGCAACAGCGCCAGCGCCGATGCCGACGCCGATGCCGATGCCGGCGACAACGTCAACGTCAACGTCAGCGCCAGGCTGCCACATTTAACGAACACTAATTCATTGCGCTGGCAGCGCAGCAACGGCAGCAGCAGCAGCAGCAGCAGCAACAACGGCCACAGACATGCTCAACTCCATTTTGCTGCGGCAGCTGTACGCTGATTGGTCAGCGCGTCTGCACTGGCTGCGCGCGCGCCAGCCAGAGCGAGACAACCATACAGTGCGCGCGCTGCAATTTGCTGTCGCCATTGCTGCTGGCTTTGCTGGGGCAAAATTTTCATTTGATGCGCGTCGCTGGCAGCGGCCACAACACATTTGCCGTGCCACATGAATTTCGCACATGAATTTTGCTGGTATGGAGTGTGTGTGTGTGTGTGTGTGACTGACTGCATAAGATTCCAATTGGAATGATGGCCGTTTTTTACAGCAACCTAATGAGCAGGCATCAGGCAGCAGGCAGGCTATCTCGCTCTAGCGCTCGCTCGCTCGCAGGCTGGCTTGGTGCTGATCGTTGCTGACAGTTTGACATGCACTGCCTGCCGCCTGTTAAACTGTGTCAAACTGTGCGTGGCGTTGTTTTATTTTGCTGTTGCTGCAATTAATTTGCGCACTTTCACTGAGCCGCAAGTTGGCAACAGCGACAAATTAGCCACAGTTGACGTTGTTGCGGCTAAAATGGAATTTCCCAAGGAAGTGTGTCAGACGTGTGTGTGCAGATGTGTGTGTGTGTGTGTGTGTTGGCACAAGTTGGAGCAGGCGAAAGAAAACTTGCCAGTCTAATAGAATAAATGTTGTTTCATTTTGTTGCGTGTGTGCGAGCGAGTGAGCAACAGCAGCAACAACAACAGCAACAACAGCGACGAGCCTTATTGGATCAACAGAAACATGGCATACATATGGACAGCTGCTCGGACACACACACATACATACACACACATACACAGGGCACCACTGACGCCGTCGCCGCCGACGTCAACGCCAACGTTAACGTCCACGTCTGGGCAACAACTAACGAAATTAACCAAGCAAGTTAAAGCGAGACAGCAGCAACAGCAACAGCAGCCGACGCGTGCGTGCGTGCGAGCGAGCGAGCGAGCGCGCGCGCCAAACGACGCTAGCACAAAATGGCGCATGCTGTCGCACTCGACACGCGCGCAGCGTTGCCAGACCAGGCGGCGGCGACGACGGCAGAGCAAGTTTCATTATTTTTCAAATTATTAGTACGACTAACGATTCGTGGTCTCTCACACACACACACACACACACACATAAACACACGCACACAGCGCTGCCAACCACCAATCGTTCGCGCGCAGCCCGCAATTGTCCCCACAAGCCAACAGCAACCCCCAGCAGCAGCAGAAGCAGCGACAGCGACGGCAGCAGCGGCAGCAGCTGAGCAGCGCAGCATCGTGCTGAGCACATGATCCTTAATTTCGTTATAATTTTGTATGTTGCCTGAAATTGTATATCATTTTAAGTTTGATCGGCCGCGAATACATACCGTTGTGCGTGCGACAACAACAACAACAGCAACAACAACAAAACAATTCACAATAGTTGCGACAATTTGGAGAGCAAATTAGCTCTATGCACATACGTATATACATACATATATATAAAAATAAAAACACCTTTGCTTATATGTGTGCGTGTGCGCTGGCTTGTTGTTGTGTTTTTTAGTGGCATTTGGTTTGGTTTCCGTATATTTTTTGTTTGTTGCTGTCGCCGTCGGCGTCGCCGCTTTTTGCTTTGGCAGCGGCAACAAACCAACAAAACCAACAGTCGCTGCAACGGCTTTAGACATAACGGTGCCACAACACGCGACGCCGCATTGTGCAACTCCAACCACAACAACAACAACAACAACAATAATAATAAAACAAAAATCAATAACAACTGCTTTCAATTTTTTTCTCCATGTGCATTGTCCGCAAAATCCAATAAGAATTTTGTATTTTTTTCAAGTGTTCAAAAGCCGTCGCCATTTGCAAAAAGTGTGCGAGTGCGAGTGTGTCTGTGTCTGTGTCTGTCTCAAGAGAGCGAAGAGCACGGCAATAATAACAAAATGCAATATTTGTGTTAAGTGCAACAACAACAACAACTGAACGAAGCTTAGCTCAAGGCTGGCCAATTAAAGACAAGCGCACGCGGCGCCAAATTCGAAAAGCCATTCACAAACTGAACGAAGCCGCAGCCAAGTCAATTGCGGCAAAACGACGCAAGAGAAACAGTAAAAAGAAAAACAAAACAAAAAAACAAATTAAAAATAAAGAAAAAGAACAAAATCGATCGTCGGTCAGCGCATAAATTGTAATTAGCAATTAAAAGAATTCAATTTTCATTTTCATCGTGAAAGTGCGCGTTCGCCGCGTTACAGCCTCCAGTTGGATTATTCAATAGATTTCTTCAAAACGTATATCGATACGCAGCGTTTTTACGCCGGCCACAAATTGGATTTCAAACATCAAAGTTGTGCCGGCGGCCCTGGTTCCGGTGGTGGCGGCGCTGCTGGAGTAGTAGGAGTCGTCGGCAACACCAGCAACAACACAAACAGTCAGCAGCAGCAACAGCAACAGCAGCAACAGCAGCAGCAGCAACAGCAGCAGCCGTTGCCAGCGAACGGCAGCAGCCACGCCCACAGTCACGCACACGCCCTAGCGGCAGCGCACGCACACCAGCTGCACGCGGTGCTGCCGCTGCAACAGCAACAGCTGCCGGCGGGCGCAGCGCCACATCAGCAGCAGCAACAACAGTTGCAGGCAACACAGCAGCAACAGCAGCAGCAACAGCAACAGCAGCAACAGCAGCAACAGCAACAACAGCAGCAGCTGTTGGGCAGCAACAGCAACGGCGTAGGCGTGATCACGCCCACATTGTTAATTGGCAACGGACCGGGCTCGTCGGGAGCAGGTCATACGATAGGCACATCAGCAGCAGCAGCCGCCGCCGCCGCCGCTGCTGCAGCGGCCGCTGCCAGCGTCGCCGTTTCGGCGGCATCTGTGGTTAGCGGCAGCAGCAACACGTCCCTGCCGCACGTGGCGCCGCACAGTTTGGGCCTGAGTCCGCAATCGAGCGCCGATTCGCAGCAGTTCAACATATTTCCGGCCATATTTAGCCGGCAGCTGAACTTTTCGGCGGCCGGCGCTTGCGGCCAGGCGGCCAAGCTGAGCATGGACGAGCTGCGTCCGAATCTGGTTGGCGGACTGCTCGGGCTGCAGCAGGGCCTGCTCGAGGATCATGCCAGCAGTATGCAGCATACGGGCGGCGGCGGCGGCAACGGCAACGGCGGCGGCGGCGGTGTACCGCAGGACACAAAATTCATGTCATTCCAGGATAATCGTCTGATGGGCATTGGCGGCGCACACGAGAATCGGCTGCTCAGTTTGGCGACATCCGTGCAGGATACACGCTCACCGATCACCACGCTGGACAAGTCCTCGTCCTCGTCGCTCAACCATCAGCGCAAATGCAGCAGCACGCCCGAGGATTTCAGCGCATTGTACTCGGGCCTGCCCACGCCCGGCATGGACTCGTCCTCGCATCATCATACGCCGGCCCATACGCCGCCCTCGCGCCTCTCCGATCACACCATCTCAGGTAAGCCTCCGGCACACAATGAGCCCTATTTGGCAGAGCTCTTAACCCCTTTTGTCCCCTCCAAGGATTATCGCCTGCTGCTGACCCGACCCAACCCGACCCTCTCCTCTCCTCTCTCCTCTCGCCTCTCGCCCTTTCAATCGGCTTAGCGCAATTGTTGTGACACCCAAAAGGCATTCAAATTACAAGCAAGAATTCAGCTGCTAACTGCCACGCCTCCTTCGAAGCTAGCCTCCTTCCAGCCACGTCCTGAATCCTTTAAGCAGCCCAGCTTTGTGCTCCATGAATATTGGATTCAATGCAACATTTCTTCACAAACAAGTCTCGCAATCCTGTTAGCTTCGGGTCGGGCGTGCTCGACGTGCAGTTACCCTGCAAGTTGCACCTATTCCTCAATCCAGCTCCTTCTATTCTTTCCTCTTTAACCTTGTTGTTTATAGTCCGATCTTGTTGAAATTTTCGTTGCTTGATTATGGCATAGAAAAGTGTGCATATACTTAGTTTAGAGATATAAATATTCCAATACGAGAGTCAATTTGTCGAGTAATGCTTAAATGACCATATCTCGAAATCGATATTTATCGATATTATACAAATAGCAAGAGTTATCGAAGAACAATTCTAACCGCATGCCACATTTGATATGGGGGAATGTTCATATCAAATTTCAAGGCTCTCTGATGTCGAAGTTTATCGAGACAGATAGACGAAGCTGGCGAGATGCACTCAGCTCGGCTACCTGATCAGCAATATATATAATTATATATATATATATATAATTTATGGAGTCACAGTTGTCTCCAGCTGCATTTCAATGGATGCAGAGCCTTTATAAATACATATATATACATATATATATATAGTGTATAGGAACAATCACGAGTTCAGACCGATTGTTGTTGATAAATTGATTGATACAAAGTTTTTACTATGTTCCTAACAATGGCATATAAATCGATTTATGATACATATATATATATATATATATATATATATATATATACTATATATGGGAACAATCGGTCATGAAACTATTTCTAAACCTTTGTTGGAAACATAGTAAACACTTTGTTCTACATATCATATGAAAACAAAAAGTTGCTCTAATAGGAACTTAATTTTTGACCGTTTCTTCCTATAGGAACGAATCTTTGTCAAGTTTAGATAAATGGATGAACTTGAATATAGAAAGTCGGCTGTTCAAACTGATCAAGAATTTATATATATATTCATATTAATATATTATATATAATAGAAGGCATCTTCTTTAGGTCTATATCTATATCTTTTCTACCTGCCTGTCTATATATCTTATGGCACGCACTTAAACTGCCGACGGCACACAAAGCTCGACAATAGGCCTCATTTATATTATAAACAAGCAAGAGGTTCTAGTCGGAAGCTCCCGTCTAGGGGATACCCTGAGCCCTCTTCCTCCAACCTGCGATAGCTATAAAATGAAAGATACTTGGTATACATTTTTATACTAATCTAGAAGCTACATGTCAAGTCTGGTGACTCTAGCTCATATTATTCGCCGAAATTACCCAAAAACAGGATTTCGATATCGATTTTTTATCGAAAACTTTGAAACGGGGCAAGTTATCGATAATCGGAAACAAGCTCGATCTGCGCATGGACTAGGAGGACCTACAGCCAAAATTTCAAGTCTCTAGCTCTTATAGGTTTCGAGATCCTTGCGTTCATACAGACGGACGGACGGACGGACGGACATGGCTAAATCGACTCGGCTGTTGATGCTGATCAAGAATATATATACTTTATCGGGTCGGAGATGCTTCCTTCTGCCTGTTACATACATTTGCACAAATACATTATACCCTTTTTATCCATTTTCAATGTGTTCAGGGTATACAAATATATAAAAGAGAGTTCGATCGATCGGAGCTATATATTGTAGATCATATCAGCATATAGACTAACTCAGGTAGTTACGCAATTTAGTTCTCTCACCAACTATTTCTGATGGCCAGCTCTGAAATATTCTCCCAAGAAATTATGAATATAATTAATCAGAAATTCGAGTCAGCATGTTCAGAAAAGTTTTCGAGTGCCCAATTTCGGAAGAGAGCGCTTTCAATTCGACCCTAGAGCGAATTTCGTTTACTTGCCAAATAGTTAAATTCGAATTTTCTTTTGAATACAGAATTTTCCAAAAAGTTTTTAAAAATTTGGTGCATCTCAAATCAAGTCCATTATTATTATAGTCCATAATATTAGTATGTAAATATGTTTCTGATATGAAACTAAAGAAAGAATTGCAAAATGCAAGCGACTAGTTTATACCCTTCATTTTCACATTGTTCTCAGAGATCAATATAACTTCTTTATGTTATAGGAATGGATTGTCCAGAGATAAGGGATATTCTAGTTTGAATCAAATTTAGGAACTCGAGAGCTATTTTCAAAAGATAAACATCCCTTCTTCTGAAATAATATTCAATTCACAGTCCTAAGATTTCCAACAGCTTTCAGCTAAAGAAAACACGATGAAAAAACTAAAACTGCAAAGTATTTAGTAAGAAGGCAGAAACTATAATTTATTCAAATGTAATATTCCTTAGCTTTAGTTCAGTTTGAAAACAGAAAATAGATTTTCCTACGGACAAATTTGATTATTATTGATTTCTCAGTCAAATTGAGATATGATATAAATTATAATATTATATTATAAATCTAATCTAGCAGTTTTAAATATTTAACAAGAAAACGTATTATATCGATAAACAGCAAATTTGCGAGCAAACTCCGTACTGAGCTGTGTAAAACGCCGCCTTGATCTGGCAACGCCGACAAGAAAGCGCTTATAATTCGCAACTGGTTAAGGCGAAAGTCCCTTAAAGGCAACTCGAGTTCAGATGGGGAAATAAGTTTGAGCGCAGATTGATATATATGTATATATATTTGAGAATTCGCAATTGATGAAGGCGAAAGTCTTTGAAGGATTAAGAGTCAAGCTTGAGTACGGCAATAGAAAGATATATAATAAAGATGAAGTCTCAATTCGAGAACTCGAGAATAGATAGATCTAGTTATTTGGAGGATCGCTTTTAAGAGAGAACAAAAGCGGATACGTGTTAGCTATTTGACCTTGTTGGGCTCAGGCCCAGCCGCAAGGTCAAGAGAGCAAACGGGAGAAAGCGCGTGAGAGGGCAATGAGACTGGCTTAACATAAGTAAATGCCACCTGCCAATGGGCGGGGTCAGTGGGCGGGGTCAATGGGGGCAAAAGGTAGCGACGAGCGCTTTGTGTGTTATTCAATTAGTGCGAAACCGGCCCCAAAAAGTGTATGCATAGTTTAAATTTTGTTAACGAGCTAAGCGCGCCAATTAAGCGCCAGGCCAGAGGTCAGAGGTCAGAGGTGAGAGGTGAGAATGGCAGCGGCTCTCATGACTTCCGGCCAAGCTCGGAGCTTGGTTTTCCCGCCTCTGCGCTCCCTACTTGCGGCCAGCTTAGCTCGCGCTGCCCTTTGACCTTTGGCCGTGTAATTTGACGCCTTTTGGCAGCCAGGCCAGGTGGCAGCCAGGCCAGGTAACAGCGGCCAGGTGGCAGCGGCCAGGTGAGAGCCAGCACGATTAATGTGGCAGAAATTTGCATAAATTATCCCATATTGCATATTCATGCGACCCGGCGACGTGACCCAAAACTCTGGACAAGGAGACGTCGTCGTCGTCGTCGTCGTCGTCGTCGTCGCGATGTCTTGTGGCCGCACTGCGGTCGCCATTGTTGTTGTTGTTGTTCTCCTCCTCCTCCTTCTCCTCCTTCTCCCCCTTCTCCATGTTGTTGGGGCATAATTATGCAACATGCGGACAGTCGCAGAGCGGGCAGGATAATCGTTTGCCGCATATTAAACGCCGGCCGTAAAGAAAACATTCAATTTGTGTTGCCTACTTTTCGCTGCAAACAAATTACCCGGCGACGCTCGCTGGAAAATGCAATTCGCATGGATTCGACTTTTTACACATTACAAAAGCAAAAAGCAGTTTTCGTGGCAGTTTGATTCCCAAGGCCAAAGAACTAATTGTAGTTGATCAAGATAAAGGAAACGAGTAGAAAAACTATAATTATTCATGTTACAATTTCTTTATTTACTTCTTCTCGCTTGCTGGTTCAACGCTCAGACATTTCCATATTGGTTTATAAGGCAAATAAAATAAGCAATTTCTGCTTGATTTGAGCTGGCGACTTCCGGCTAGCTGGTTCAACGCTCAGACATCTAGGTGTCACTGGCCCGTAAAGTGAATTAAGTGAACAAGCATTAAAATGGGAAATTTCTGCTCGATTTGAACCAGCGACTTCTAGCTTGTTGATCCACAGCCCAGACATTTCCATACAGGTTTATAAGGCAAATAAAATAAGCAATTTCTGCTTGATTTGAACTGGCGACTTCTCGCTTGCTGGTTCAACGCTCATTTAGGCATTACAGGCTTGTAAAACATATGGACTAAGCCAGCATTTAAAATTTCTGTGCGAACCAAATTAAACATTTCTGTTGGATTTGAACTGGCGACTTCTCGCTTGTAGGTACGACGCTCAAGCGTTTAGGCCATTTTAGACATGCAGGCTCTTAAAGCCAATTAAATAAACAAGCATTAAAATGAAGATTTCTGATGGATTTGAAACGGCGCTTTCTCACTTGTTAGTCCGACGCGCGCAGACATTTCGATCACAAAAGCTCAGAAAGTATATTAAACAAAAAAGAAATTTTTGTTGAATTTGAGCCGACAACTTCTCGCTTGTAGGTCCGACGCTCAGGAAAATTACACTGCGCTGCTGTTGGTGCCAATTAAAACACACTTTGTCCGACATTTTCCCCACCTCGATGTTATATTTAGTCCGAAGCCCGATCCGAAAGGAAGCTGAACTAAAAATTGTCTGCTTCCTAGCGCTTACGGCTGATCGCCAATCAGTCTGGCTGGCTGGCTGGCTGGACAAGCACTTTTATTTATAGATAATAATCATAATTGATATTTTCTTGCAGCTGAAGGTGCATTCAAGAAACTCAAGCCGGAACCCAACAGCGGCCTGTCAACGGTTTCCGCCGGCATCACATCGCCCGGAAGTGGACTCTCCTCGCTGAGTCAGCATGCCGGGCATACCCCAACCACAGCATCCTGCCCAACGCCAGCCAGACGAAGACATCGAACCACATTCACACAGGTCAGTGCCAGGATATACACAAATATATATATATATATATATATATATATGTTTATGGAGCGCATCAGCATACATTAGGGGTATTCCCTGCTGTTAACGCTACCTCTCTCTCTCGCTCTCTCTCTCTCTCTTGCTCTCTCTCTGTCTCTGTCTACCCCTCTTTTGCTGCTGCTGCTGCTGCTGCACGTAGTGAGAAATTTTAATTAGATTTCGTGAAGGTTACGCTTGTAATTAAAACTTTGGCATTTTCCAAGTTAACGACGGGCTAACAACAACAACAACAACAACAACAACAACGAGAAGAAGGTGTGTCTTCCCCCAGTTGTTGTTGTTGTTGTTGTTGTTGTTGCTAGTCTAGTTACAGCCTAAACAAGGCGATATTTAATCAAGATTAGAAATCTAATCAACAGACGCGTCCAAAGTGCAAACAAGTGTTGCAAAACGACCGCTGTAGTGCTGTAAAACAAACCGTTTTTCAAATTGAACCGTTTCCGTTTTCCAAAAAACTTTTCTTATTATCAAACAGTTGATTTGAATAAAAATCTTTAACTGAACTTAACTTAAGAAGAGCCAACCAAATATTGGACAATTTCGAGCGTAGAGCGCAAATTACATGTGTGCGTCGGACTTAATTGTCCGATTCGTTTACAATTTGCAGCTCATAAACAAGTTAATAACTGCGGAAATGAATTTCTTAGAATTAAAAGGGTCCAGTTCCCCTTTCAAAAAGCGAAATACTCTGCATCTATACACGATTATACGATATTATATAAAAGTTTCGCGTAACTTGCTTTCATAATTCACGAGCTATCCTTAAGAAACGTTTACCTCAACATCGATAAGTATCGATATTGGGCAGATAATGGGATATATCGATTAAAAGGTGATAAACTCTTGCCGCGCTTTGCATGAGATAATATATATCATATATATATCGATAATTAAATCTTGTAAATTGTCAAGTTAGTATTCTTATCCTTTATTCTATATCTATATTTGTCTTTTGGCGACCTTTCCATTTTATAAATATTTGTTAAGCTGACGCACTTCGAGCTAGGTAAACGAATGTTTATTTCTGCTCCGCCCAAACCGCCCAAAAATAAGTCGAGTATCGAAGCTTCAAGTATCGAGGTTGTCGTCATTTCAACATCGATACCACACGCTTGACCATATTTCATATCGATATATATCGACGCCAATTTTTAAATATTTGAGCTCTCGAGGGTTTAGTTAATTCAAATCAAAAGTGTTAATGAATCAAATAAATTCGTTTTAATCTATTTATTCCGATATATTTGAGCAGGTTCAATCTCCTTATTAAGGAGATATAATCAAGTTCAGGTCCTCGAGCCAGTTAAGAAATGTTCAATGCCTATTCCTATATCGATACATATATCGATACATAAGAAGCCTGTATTCACTGATTGTAGAAAAACGGCTTCACAAAGCGAACCTAAAAAGGAGTTCAAACTGTGAAGCGCAGCACTCAGTTACATAATCGTATATTAGCCTTAAAGTGTGACCAAAGTTACGAGTTCCTAGCTTCGATACTACTATCGATACTACAGCTCGTGAGAGCAGAGAGCATCGATAGCGTCCGGCTCAAACAATCGATACTTCGATAACTCTTAAGGCTATCGACAGCTCTGCGTAAGCTCCATTTGCAGCCCGTTAAGGCAGTATTATTATTATTATTGTTGGTCACTTTTCAACACTGCTCTCTAATGGAAATTCGGTGTTTGGCAGCTCTGAAAGTTGCGACAACACAATTTGCATTTCAACGCTGAAACTGAGCAATGGGAATAGAAAATGTTCTGGCTAAGTTCTGTAAGTCACGAATATTTACAAAAAAAAAACACCAAATTAAAGAGGAAGAGAGAGAGAGAGAGAGAGAGAGGAGAGGAAGGGGGGGAGAGAATGTATTTGCGTGAGTGCAGCTTATATGACAACAAATTAGCCTAATTAAAATCCGCTTAATTTCAGGAACAATTAGCTGAACTGGAAGCTGCATTCGCCAAATCGCATTACCCGGATATTTACTGTCGCGAGGAGCTGGCGCGCACGACAAAGCTAAACGAGGCCCGAATACAAGTGAGTAGCAAAACATACCCTAGAAATAACTTGAAGCGAGCATGCTCGACCGCAACACTCTCCGCCCTGCACTCAACGTGGCTCAACAATATGGAGATTTTCATCTTTTGGCAATGCAGTTTTTGCGTTTTTATTGTGTGTATCTAGCAAAGATGAAGGGTATTTCCCCGAAAAATATCAATTTTGGGTTGCCCTCAGGCAGGGTATCTAAAAATTTTCTACTTTCCTGATCTGTTTATACAGAATTTGTCCAACTCTTCTGTTGTCCGAGATATGATGTGAAAATAGACAAAGCAAGTTTATATCTATATATGATACTTATCGATTTTGGTTAGGTTTATCGATAATCATAAACAAACTTTATCGGAGAGTTGCGTCTTCAGCTAGTTTATTCTCTGAGCGAGCATGCGTTTTATCTCACGAAAGCGAAATGATTATCGATATGTATCGACACATAAAATTATCGACAGCAAGTTTTAATTAAAGTTGATAGCTTTTTAAAATCCTTAGTTAAAAATCGATATGTATCGAAATATAGTTATCGACAGGAAAATAAACATATGCCACGTTATAAGATTTAAGTCTCGTTGAAGCGTCTTCACAAATCGTAGGCTTAAAACCGATACGTATCGATTTCTCTAAAGTTATCGACAAACTTGTTCAGCGTTTATTATAGATGAAGCTACTTACAAGAAATGTATCGATAAGTTAAGTTATCGACAAAAGAGTATACAGAAAGTCTCTAAATTCGAAGCTTTTTACAAAGTTATTCGATGAAAATCGATATGTATCGTTATCGAATAAAAAGTAAACATGTGCTGTGTTCGATATACGAAAAGTTTCCACAAAATTGGAAGCTGGAAATCGATATGTATTTATATACAAATTAATCGACAACAAGGTAAACGAAAAAGTCTCTCAATTGTAAGCTGACAATCGATATGTATCGTTCAATAAAGTTATCGAGTGCCCGATAACAGGCTCAATTTGCAATTTATTGCAACAGTTGTTCAACTGAATTGGTCTTTGAGCAGTCGCATTCGCATCCGCAGCGGCGGCAATTTGTGCACTGATGCGATTTAGGTCCATTGCCACGATATATCGTACCAACCACCATCCCCTCCACCCCCCCCCCCCCTTTTTTAAGCCCACAATCCGCCGATGATCTCGGTTAGACGATTAGTGCGCGATTATTCCAATTGAATGCTTCGCTTTTGGGTGTCGCTCTAAAGTGCTCGCCGGGCGACACGACACGGCTTCAAAGCCAGGCCAGGCCAGGCCTAGTCGCCCCCCGGGGCGCTTCCCCCCGCCCCTTTGCCCCCGCCCCCGACCTGTCTGCGCTGCGACTCTGTTGCGCTTTCAAGTGCGCCGCGGTAATAATTAATTTATAGTTTTTATCATGACTCGCGAAACAAGTGAGTGCAGCGGGTGGCGCCGCCTGTGGTTAGGGTAGCATGTTTCTCGAGCTCGATTCAGCAACGCCCCGCCCCCATTCCGCCACCCTCCCCCACCCCTCCCCCCCTGTCCGTAGCAGGGCTAAAAGTGGTGCTGAGAGCGCATTTCGTTTGCGCCATTTGAGGTGTAGAATTACATGTCACAAAGGCGGCTAAAAATCACAGATTTTACCAGCAAGATTTCCAGCTGAAAGAGAACTGGCTAAGTGGAACACACACACACACACACACACACACACACACACACACACACACACACACACACACACACACACACACACACACACACACACACACACACATGCTTGCCTGTTAACTATGAGTGCATTTTTAGCCATGGCTTGTTCATGACGCCGCGTAAAAGTTGCAAAAGTGCAATATTTTGAAGTGTTGTAAAATGTTAGATAAAAAGACTTTTTGAGCCCCTAACACATTCAAAATGGCTTGAAGAGGCAAATGACAGCATCTGCGACCAAATAAAGTATATATATATTGTAAAACGTGAAGATTAATGTAAACTTTTGCAAGTCAACAAAAGTCAAGCTGCAACATCCAGTGTTGTAAAGCAATTGTAGTATAAGCTATATGTAAGTAAGTTGAGCACTCAAAAAGAAGAAGAAGAGAACACGAGGTGGCGAGAAAATAAAGAAAATTACAATATTCTTGAGGTGGACGAGGAGCGATAAATATGAGCTATATGTTCTCTTAAAACCAACATTCGCTTACAATTTCAGTATATCGATAAATATCGATTCTGCGAGCTGTTTATTTAAGCTTAGCTCGCGAATCGAAAGATCTAGATGCAGCAAATTTGCTGTGTGGGTTCTTGTTTAGTAAATACGTGTGAAGAATCTTTCACATATTGAATAACTCCTTCTACTGGAAGAAAACGCATTTGAAAAGTTAGAGCCTTGCGCTTTGGTATCTACGCACTTTTATGGGCCATAAACAAGTCCTGCGAATTTCATAAAGATCGGACTGTGAACAGCCAAGTTAACTGAGATTGCATTTTCCATATAAGATCTGGACAGAAGCGAGGAGGAAGCAAAGCTGCTTAAAGCTCAAAGCTCTTCTCATAATTCCAGCCTAAAGCTCCATCCAGATATAATCGCATGAACAGCTTTAAAGTGCTTTTGTGGGAGAGAGAGAGCTCTAGAGAGTTGTGAGTTGCCATGTGACAATGTATATCTCCATATATAGCTTGATCTGATAATTATGTGCGCAGAACAAACAACTGATTGAAATGTTAACAATCTAAATCTGAATCGGATGAGGGGGTGAGGGGTTGCGGGGTTGCGGGGTTGATTGAGAGGGATAAACTTAAAAGTGATGCGGAATCAGGACATTTGTTGGCGATCAAATGACAGGCAAATGCCGGGCTATTAGCACAGCATAAACCATATTTTTCTACAAATGTTCAAATATTTACACACGCCAACCCTTGTCGTGGACTCGAACTGGCTGCCTGCCGCGACCGCAACCCTCTAATAGACGGGCGAGAGACAGAGACAGGTTTTCCTTTGCCGTAATTTGACGAGTGCGCTTACAACTTGACTCTGGCACTCACTTAACAACAACAACAAGAACAACCATGTCTACTTCATAATTTGTCAGCTGGTGTTGACGAAATTTGTTGCCCAGCCGAGGGGGATTGGCCAAAAAGGCGTTGCCAGCCACATCTGGTTGGAAAATCGCATCGCGATTCATTTTCTGCTGCTCAACTCGACATTCGGATGCGTCGGGCGCGATTTTCATGTCCCAATTTGGCTTTTTGGCCGCCTTCCTTCAATTCGGACGGGAGCTTCGCTAAGAACTAACAAGTAAGTGCTTCTAGTCGGGAGCTGCCGACTAGGGGTACCCTCTTCCTCCAACAGGCGATAGGCGATATAAAATGAAAGATACTTGATATATATATATACTATTCTAGAAGCTACATGTCAAGTTTGGTTAGTCTAGCTCATATTATTTGCCGAAATTGCTCAAAAAACATGATTTCGATATCGATTTTTATCGATTACTTGGAAACGGGGCAAGTTATCGATAATCGGAAACAAACTCGATCTGCGCGGGCACTAGGAGGACCTACAGCTGAAATTTCAAGTCTCTAGCTCTTATAGGTTTCGAGATCCTTGCGTTCATACAGACGGACGGACAGACGGACGGACAGACGGACGGACGGACGGACATGGCTAAATCGACTCGGCTGCTGATGCTGATCAAGAATATATATACTTTATGTGGTCGGAGATGCTTCCTTCTGCCTGTTACATACATTTGCACAAATACATTCTACCCTCTTAACCCATTTTCAATGGGTTCAGGATATAAAAAGCAGTCTCAGTTAACTTGGCTGTTCACAGTCCGATCTTTATGAAATTCGCAGTACTTGTATATGGCCCATAAAAGTGCGTAGATACCAAAGCGCAAGGCTCTAACTTTTCAGTAGAAGGAGTTATTCAAAAGGTGAAAGATTCTTTAGATGTATTTACTAAACAAGAATCCACACAGCAAATTTGCTGCATCTAGATCTTTCGATTCGCGAGCTAAGCTTAAATAAACAGCTCGCAGAATCGATATTCATCGCTAGAATCGTAGAAAAACAATGCCTCAGCTCGTAAATATATTTATGTTTAATGGGATTGCAGATGCGGCCTTCTGTCTGTTGCTAATTGCATTTGCAGCAAAAACATTGTCCTTTTTTTTCTGTTTTGCTTACCCATTTTCAATGGGGCCTGGGCACAAAAAATGATTAACATTCACGCATTTACCCAATAATCAAATTATGGAGGCCCGATAAAAACGTTTCATATGCAGGCGATATATAATATGGCATGCGTGTAAACAAAGCCATTCGTCGGAGCAAGGGACGGGGGGGGGGGGGAGAGAGAGGGGATAGGGGGGGGGGGATAGGGGGGATAGGAAAATGTCATCTCAAATGTCTGTTTATTGCGTTTTTTTGTTATCGTTTAATCGATTCGGCAAATGGGAAATGTGAAACGTGACTTTTGCATTAAAAACCCAACTGCATTTCAATTAGCTGTAAACAGTTGTTTTTCTTTTTTTCCCAATTGATGTTTATAAAACAATAGCTACTTTTTTATCAGCTGCGATGCGAATTAAATGTGCTTCAGCTCGTTTCGCCAATTACACAAATGCATTGCGAGAGCGCGCCAATAAGTAGGCAATAAATATTATCAATTCGAGTTCTTATGACATTTCCAATTGTTGTCCAATTAGAGTGCAATATTAAAGAGTTAAACAAAGGGAAGATGTGAGAATTACAAGCCAGAATCAATTGTTGAGAAATACTTCAAAGTTAAACAAAAGGAAGGCAAATGTGAAGTCTTCGCACTGCTTTAACTGGTTGAGAATTATAAGCCAGAATCAATTGTTGTCCAAGTGGAGAGCAATACTTAAGAGTTAAGCAAGAGGAAGGCCTGTGAAATATTCGCCTTGTGCCCTTCGCACTGCTTTAACTGGTTGAGAATTACAAGCCAGAATCAACTGTTGTCCAATTAAAGAGCAATATTTAAGAGTTAAACAAAG